ATGTCAAAGTCAGAAATTTTAGGATTCATATCTGCATCCTAAATATATTGCCAGCCTTCAAATCCCGATGTATGATTTTTAACCTTGAGTGATGATGAAGGTAAAGGAGTCCTTGTAAAGTTCCTTGAATAATCATCACTCACTTTCCCTAATCTAACACACCTCTTTCTGGTGCACCTTCAAAAATAATCACAGAAAAATTGCACATACAACTACATGTGAGATTATAGCAATTTATATATTCAACAATCAGCTTAAAGACAAGTTCCATGTTAGAATATATAGCCTATTTGTTGGATCTTGAACCAAAGTAAGGTTATACTAACCAAAGAGAAAGTAATCCAAACTTTTTTTGGGCATGTATTCATAAACCAGCATTCTCTCCTCAGCTTGTATGCAGCATCCAAGCAATCGAACTAGATTCATATGTTGTAATTTTACTATGAGTATTAACTCATTCTTAAACTCCACTAATCCTTGTCCTGAACTTTTTGATAGTCTTTTCACTGCAATTTCTATTCCTTCTGGTAGTTTTCCCTGACCACATTTACCATCACTATACTTAGTAAGTAATTCAAATTAAGTAATAATACAGTATTGATTATAAAAGGTATGTTTCCCTGATCACCTTATAAACTGGGCCAAATCCACCCTGTCCAAGCTTATTTTGTGTAGAAAAATTGTTTGTAGCTTCAACTATAGACATAAAGCTGAAAATTTTCAAATTTTGAGCATAGTCGTTATAGTGTCCATTGTCATTCCCGTTTTGTATATCTTCAGTTTTTGTCATCAATTTATGCAGGTCCTCTTTTCTCCCTGTTGGTTATATATCAAGAAAAAATATCGGTCATTTCAATAATCTCAAACTTAACATGAAATAACATGCAATTTAAAGAAGTGGGGATATAGATTTTGCATATCTATTACCTTTTCTTTTCCATCTCCAGTAGAAGATAATGATGATGGCAGACATTAACAACACAGTGATCGGAACAAAAATTGCAATCTATTTCTTATTGCTTTTCTTTTCTACTGCAGCATCTGCTAATTCTCCAATTGATTAGTTGCTTGTGTTGAAGAGTGGCTAATTAATCAGTTCTAAAAGAGAAATTCTTAAAACTAGAAAAAAAATTACAAAAAAAAGTTATGAATGAAATTAATATCAAAATGCATTTAAATATATTAAATCTACATTCTCACTTTTGTATCTCTGCTAATGTAACATTTTCTTAATCCAAGATAAACACTGGTTACAAAAGTTGAGAAATCAAACAATTTAATCTGACGAAGATACAATCATATTATTGATAATAATCAATAAATACCATGCTAAACTTATAAACTTATACTACAGATGTAGGATATTGAGAGCAGCTGTGTATCCACTTTCTTTGTATATCCCATATGAATGATAAAATCTATTTAAAGATATTATAATTATATTGATAGAGAGTATGCATATATATATATATATATATATATATATATAATTAAAAGGGTGGATATGAATTCTTGACAAACTCACCATTTTGTGTTCGTTGGATAACATAATATCTTGGTGAAAACCCAGCTTGGTCTGGTTGAAACTCTGATTCTTGTGTCAAGGTGACACAACCTATTGTGCTATTGTCGTACACGTATCCCAGACAACCACAATCATTCCAGCAACTAAATCTACAATCACCAGGACCATCAATACTTTCATTATGATGGCCACTGTCAATTTCTCCATTGAGCTTATTAACAAAGTTTCCATTCAACAGGTCAAACGTTGCATTGTTACTACTCTTGCATGCTTGATTCCATTTTGACATCCACCATCGATGTCGTTCCCATAACAAAAATCCTCTAAGTCATATACAAGTCTTGAATGATAAAAAAATATGCTTCCTGTGGGAAGTATCCGCCATGCCAGGCGCGAATAACTACCAATTTCTATGTGTGAATCTCTCGAGGAGTAGCTGAAGAATTCTTCTTCTTAAGTACTACTGGACATAAGAACCAGACCATAAAATTAGTCTACTGTAAAATGAAATAATAAAGATAATGGCTTAATGGAGCCATTTTTTAATGCTGCACTAGTCCAAAAAACTATGCCTCGTCGTCGAACGACTAGCTGAAGTATATTGGGGTCCCATTCTAGAGTGAAAGGTCCTGGGGATAGGTCATCATAATCTAACCAGGAGGTGAGAGACCAATTCTTTCCTGTTCTGTGATTCATGCCGAGTTTCATTCTGGGTAAAAGAGAGTCAGTGGGACAATCAAAGCTTTGCTACAAGGTCGTCCAAGCAGATCCATGGGAATTTTCTTCCCTTAGAACTAGATTCCCGTTGTCCATCAGTACGGCACTAATATTTCGGCTGCTACTTGTGGTGGTGGTGGTGGTGGTTTTCGCCGGACATGGATGAATGGGCACTCCATGGGTTCGATTAATCACCAACTTTCCCATATTGTCAATGGTGAGATTTGGAGTATCGTCATGAGCTATTAGGGTGGCTCTGTTGGCTATCCAAATTGGATTTGAGGGGTCCATGAAACACCAGATGGCTAAATAAGTGTTGTTAGTGTCGATGATATTAAAGAATCCCAAAGTGAAGTTCTTGTTATTGGAAACTGAGAGGTCGGAGAAACTGAACGTGTTTGATAGATTCAGAGTATTGTTGGTTTGTGCAATTGCAAAGTTGCAACAGAAGAACAGGCAAGAGACAATGAGTAGGATCAATAAGTGAAGATACATGAATATTAGGCTTTCCCGAGCACCCATTAATTCTATGAATTTGATGAACAAGCATTGAGTATGTAAAATCATACTCTACTCATTTGAAAGCATAGTAGTGAATTTACTCACCTTTCTTTTAATCATAAATCGATAGATAGTCTTTATGGGGCATAACAGGACAGACAGCGTGTGAACTGTGAAGCATTGAATGCGTCAATGTTGCTTTTAAGCTTAGCTGACAAGTTGTTAACTTCTGTAAATACATGTTAGCGCCCACTGATGAATTTATCCAAAAGTCTGATAATATCTCTCCACGTTAAGAAGGCAAAAACGAGTCAGCTTCAGGCTTCGGCCATCATTTTAGACTTAGAGAGATAGTGTCCCTCACCTAACCTAAAAGTCAAAAATAAAGGGAAAAATTATCGAGAAGTCCCATACTAAAATTTAAAGTACCTCAAAATCTTATAAAATGTACAAATTATTGTCAAGCCCCAGATCCAATGCAATTACAACTTACCAAAAAAATAATAATTTGATATTAAACTCATACACAAATTATTATTATTTTATTAAATTATAATTGCATAGGATTTAAAATTTGGAAGTATTTTTTGTCTTTTATAAGAATTTTGGAAATTAAAATCTTTACAAGGGTTTTGGAGTGATTTTCCCAAAATAAAGCCTAAACGTCTCATCTTCAAAGACTGAAGCTTTATTTGAGTTTTGGGTTGCACGAGGCTTCCTGGGATATCCTCATGGGCATGGCATTTTCTATTCAAGTCCAAAATGATGGCTCTAGGTGACGCGTTCTTGCTCTCTAAACGCGGAGAGATTAAGCGCTGGTTTGGATAATCTCATCAAAATTATAATTTTTTAAAAATATATCTCATCCAATTGCATGGTAAAATTAATTATATATTTAAAATTATATTTTTTTTAAAAAATATCCCTATACTCATTATTTGTGCCAAAATTAAGTTTGAATCCAAAACCATATTTAAAAAAAAATATCCAAACACTACTATACATGTCAAAATTAATTATAAACCTAATAATATGATTTGTAAAATAATTTATATGATTTTTAGATAAACTTTTGAAAAAGTATAATTGAAAATATGAATTAAAAAGTAAGTAATAATAGCTTATGAAATAACTATAATTTTAAATTTATAATTAATTTTAACATGTATAATGGTTGTTTGGATTTTTTTTTTGAATTTATAATTAATTTTAATATGTAAGAAAGATGTTTGGATATATTTTTACAAAACCATAATTTTATCTTTTTTTGTAATTTTTATTTTCAATTTTACTTTTTAATTTTGATTAAAATCAATCTTATTAATCAATTTATAAATTAATTATATATCACATAATATAATTAATTATATTTAAAATCAATTATATTAATTAATTTTTATATAATTAATTATATTCAACTAAAATCTAAACACCCTCTGGTTCCAAATGCATCAAGGATAAGAGTTAAGAGAAATAAATTAGGGAGAATTTTAATAAAAGACCCTTAACCATACTTAATTATATTTAAAACCCTTAAATTTTTAAAATTTTACTACAGTTTAGAGGTACTGATTTGATATTAAATTTATAAAAAAATAACAAAATTGCCCTTTATTAAATTAATATTAGGACTTCCCTACTTCACTTATTAATTATCTTACTTCACTTATTTATTTTTCTAAAATAAAATTAAATAAAAGTCTGGCAATAAACAAGTAAAATAAGGCAATAAATAAGTAAAGTAGAAAAATTAATAATAGATCATAAGTAAATGAATAACATATAGTATATAAATTAACACATTATTTTAAGATAATTTAAACAACTAAAATAAAAATAAGTTAAGTAGTGTAATTAACAACATTTTATAAGTAAATAAACAAGTGAAATTGTTAAATTTTGATATTAATTTAAAGGAGAGATAATTTTATCATTTCTCTTATAAATTTAATATTAAGTTAATGACAGTGAAATTTTAAAAATTTAAAAACTTTAAATATAAATAAATTTGGTTAAGAGTCTTTAATTAAAATTCTCTCCAAAAATTAGTACTTGTCAACTTAACAGCATTTTTGACACATTCAAAGCATGTACTTTGGCGGGAAAAAAAAAAGGCATGTACTTGTCTGTCTTTTTTGGCCCTATAAAAACCATCAGATTCCTGATTAACAGAAAAAGTGGGTACATTCACAATGCTTTTAACAAAGTACAGAACGACCCTATACTGATTGTTTGTTCATTGAATTCAGTGAAATCAATGGGAACCCGAGAAAGCCCTTTCATGTATCTTCATTTTTTAATCCTACTCATCGTCTCTTCCCTGTTCTTCTATTGCATCAGTGCCAATGCAGAAACCTACAGCATTCTGAATCTATCAGACACACTCAGTTTCTCTGACCAACTGGCTTCCAACAAGAACAATTTCACTTTGGGATTCTTTAATCTCACCGACACTAACAACTCTTACTTAGCCATCTGGTATTCTAAGGACTCTTTAACCCCAGTTTGGATAGCCAACAGAGACACCCTTATTGCTCTTAATGATATCCCAAATCTCACCATTGACAGCACCGAAAAGTTGGTGATTAATCGAACCCATGCAAACCTTATTCATCCATGTCCGGCGGAAACCACTACTACCACTGCAAGTGGCAGCTGGAATATTAGTGCCGTCCTGATGGACAATAAGAATCTGGTCCTAAGAAGAGAATTCCGATGGATCTGCTGTAAGGACATTATGGGAGAGCTTTGATTGTCCCACTAACACTCTTTTGCCAGGTATGAAACTTGGCGTGAATCATAGAACAGGAAAGAATTGGTCTCTAACCTCATGGCTGGCTTCAAATGACCCATCTCCAGGACCTTTCACTCTAAAATGGGACCTCAGTGTACTCCAGCTAGTCATTCGGCAACGAGGCATGGTGTTTTGGGCTAGTGGGGTCTTGAAAAGCAACTCATTTGAACATATATCGGTCTCCAATTTCACTGAGTTGAGCTTTTATAATCTGAAATCCACTAGCACTACAGATGAGGAATTCTTCAGTTATTCCTTGAAAGAAGTCCCTAATGTTAATAATACAAGCATGCTATGGCGGATGGATCACAAGGGAAACCTATATGATGAGAACAATGAGGGATTAAACTTGCAGGATTTATGTTATAAGTACAACACAGATGACGGATGTGTAAAATGGACACAACCAGAGTGTAGGAGTTACAATATAATGTTTAAGTTAATCACTGGGAACTCTGTCAATGGTGATTCCTATTATAATGAAAGCATTGGACCCGGTGATTGTAGAGTAAGGTGCTGGAATGACTGTGATTATCGAGCTTACCAGTATGGAGAAAAGATGGGTTGCCTCACGTATGGCTATCAAGTCCAGTTTAACACAGATCTATCTGGGGCATCAGTAGGAAGATATTATCTTATCCAACATCCACAAAACAGTAAGTTCTGTGAATTGATCATATCCAACTTTTTATTTTTTGATTTGCTTTATCGAAGATAGTGGAAACCTGCTTTCAATCCCATACCATTGTTGGTTCAGATTCACTTACCAGCTGAATTTATATATTCAGGACAAGTTTATATCATGATGGATTAGTTGCATTTCTAAGTTTCTCCAACATATTTTTGTTATTTATTAACAAAAATGGCTCCAAAGGTACATTTTCATGTTTCATGTATGTAATGCCAAGAGAATATGTATTTATAGATGTCAATTTCACTAACAATACTTTTAGTAATTGGTTTCATTCATGACATTTTCTGGGAGTTGTTTCTGCTTTAAATTAAAGAACTTTCTCTCAACGACTAACAAATTACCCTTCAAAAACATGATGAAACTAAATTGATGGAGGTTTGACTGTTGCAGGGAACGCCAAGAAATGGATTATTATAGTAACAGTTTCTATCATTATGTTGTTACTGTCTGTCATTATCATTATCTTCTACAGGAAATGGAAAAGAAAAGGAGGTAATTTTTAAAATCTATGTTCCCACTAGATACTTCACAGATCATGTGTTCATGTAAAATTTGAAACTGAATTACTAGCTGATAGTTTTTCTCCATACATAACAAACAAACAGGGATAACAGAGGACCATGTGCTTCAACTGATGACAGCAACTGATGATTTACACAATGCAGATGAGCTTGAATTTGATAATGCCTTTCCTCAAAATTTGAAAATCTTTGGCTTTGTATCTATTGTTGAAGCTACATCTAACTTTCATGCATAAATAAGCTTGGATAAGGTGGTTTTGGTCTAGTTTACAAGGTAGGGAAAGCATATATCTTTTTTAATTAGTACTGTTATATTGTTTTTAAGTTATTATTATATCTGATGGCAAAATGCATGGTTAAGGGAAACTCTTTGAAGGGACAAAAATTGCAGTGAAGATGCTATCACAAACTTCAGGACAAGGATTAACGAAGTTAAAAAATGAGCTAATACTAATAGCAAGACTACAACACATGAATCTAGTTCGCTTGCTTTGTTGCTGTATAACTTCTGAGATGAAGATGTTGGTTTATGAATACATGCCTAACAGAAGCTTGGACTGCTTTTTTTTTGGTAAGCAATCATTCATAGGAACTTAAAAGGTATAACCATTAGCATAGATTCCTTTATCATGCTACTCCTCTTAAACTTTGACAGTACACAATTAAGTTATAATCTTCAACACCTACATCTATTTTGATACTAAACCTTAAAACTACTAGTTGATTTTTTTGGTATAATCTCACGCTTACGTAATTTTTGTATGGTTGGAATTTTAATTTGAAGATGCATCGAAAAGAGGCACATTAGATTGGAGCAAGCAAGTAATGATTATTGAAGGGATATCATAAGGAATTCTTTACCTTCATCAACATTCAAGGTTAAGAATAATACATAGAGATCTGAGAGCTAGTAATATATTACTTGATGCAAACATGGTTTCTAAAATTTCTGACTTTGGAATGGCAAGAATTTTTAAATGGGATGAGCTCATTGCCAACACTAACAAGATTGTCGGGACTTAGTAAGTTCAAAAGCAATACCTATAAACATGTGATTAGTTTTGTTTTTCAAGCAATGAGGTTTTATTTCTAACAAGATGGCTCCTCATTTTTTCCTTATCAGTGGATATATGTCTCTTGAGCACGCAATGGATGGAATATTTTTCACAAAATTAGATGTTTTTAGTTTTGGGGTCATCATACTTGAAATTTTAAGCAGCAAAGGGAACAATAGCCGATTTCATCAAGATAATAAACCTATGACTCTAGTAGGATATGTAAGTGCTTTTATTTACAATTGCCTTAAGTATATATCCTTATAAGTAACATGTATATCTGCTTCTTTTCTATTATATACTTTGATAATCAGCCTACATGAAATCTATATGATCTCCTTTTCTTAACATAAAAGTTGTTGTATTGTAGGCATGGGATTTGTGGAAAAAAGGAGCTAGTTTGGAGCTAATGGATCCAGTATTGAATGATTCATGTTCCAATCAAAAATTCCTTAAATTTATTCAAATAAGTCTTTTGTACATGAAGGAGTCCCCATCAAATAGACTAACTATTTCAAAAATCATTTCTATGACTGTAAATGAAAGTGTTATTTTGCCTCCAGTAAAAAAACCTTTATTTTTAAATCTTGAAAGTACCATGATCAATACAGATTCTCAATGAAATGATTTAGATTGTGTTTCCATCAATTATATGTCTATATCTAGTATCTACTATGAATGAGAGATAATTAAAGCTTTGTAATCTTAAATATTGATCTAATTGTCCAACCACAGTTTAACCATGTTCTGATCAATGACTTTTAAACCACTATCTTATGTAGTTCAATGTCCAATCTGATTTTTAAAACCTTAATTAAGACTTATAATAAGTTCCAAAATTTAGGGAAAAATTTCATGATTGATAGTTATTATATGCAAATAGAGGTACTGCTCTCCCCCTAAATGACTTCTCATGTTTGTTGTTTTATTTGGCATATAAATGTTCTCAATCATGTGGGTATATGAACTTGACTACATAATTTTTTTTTATACGTTTGAGTATTTTAAACCTAACTCGAATAAACTCATCCTACCCAAATTACTAGGTCTATTTATTTATGACCATAAAAATGACTTTAAATATGACTAATTGATTTGCTAAACAATCTTACATGATCAAGAGACTTGCTTGCATATGTTTGAAAATTTATAAGGACATGCACAAAAGTCATCTAATAATGGATTTATTAGCTTTAATCTATCTCTTAGGCTCACAGTTGACAGTTCCCATGCCTGCAATAACAATTATTATTTTGAATTCTGAAGAACATAATTGACATTGAAACTGTAACAAGCTAGACTATAAGGAATCTAGTTATAATTTGATGTATTTTGTTGTGTCAAAAACAAAAATACTATACTTGATATGAATCTAGCTATATAATTAAAGTATTTTAGGTTTTGTTGTTAATGAACAATTTTATTATATGTGAACCTAAAGTTGAGAATTTAAGAACATCTAGTTGTAAAAATATGAACTTGCTATTATGATGAAAGAATTTCATTATCAATGGACAATTACTTGTTAATGTGTGAACCTAAAGTTGTGAATTAGTAAACATATAGTTGTAAAAATTTAAACTTGCTATCACGATATGAATCTTACTTTTGAATATATGAAGTCATAAATTTTGAATTTTGACTTGTGATTATATGAACATGTACTTGTGTATATTCAAACTTTAAGTTGTATATTTATTAAGTTGTTCAAGACAAACATATCAATTTTAAATAAGAATTTCATTTTCAGTGAACAATTACTTATTAATATATGAATTTAGAGTTGTAAGTTCGTGAACATGTAGTTATAAAAATTTAAACTTGCACTTTTTGCCTTTTCTTACTAAGGGCAATTATGTCTTTTCTCCCTAAAACATATTTGCAAAAAGGCTATTGAACCTACAGAATAATTTCAAAATGTATTGGATCCTAACTGTTATTTTTTCTCTCTTGGAAGCCCTAGATGAGATTCTCCCTAAAAAAACATCTATGGATATGTTGAAACTATAAATTAAAGCTATTATTCCCCTTGTACTTTCTAAAAGTTCATGAGTTAGAAAAGGCATTTGTATTGTTTGTTAATAAATAAGAAGCAAAACCTAGCTATTTGCTAGTGAAAAAATTCAATTATCTAAATAGGACATCCTCATGATCTTGTTTTATCTAAGTTCAAGGATACATACATTTATCTTCCATTCATAGTAGATGTAGGCATTTTATTGATGGAATGACATGCCAAGTCGTCATTTCTTTGAGAATCTACACTAGAGACACCATTTAAATTTGTAAATGCAGGTTTTTTCATTGTAGGTAAATTGGTGTTTTCATTTGTTATTATAGAAATAGCATTTAAAATAGTTGGTCTATCTCTAAGAGATTCTTTCATAAACAAAAATCCTACTTGAAAAATTCTAAGAAATTGTTGAGTAGAACATGAATCCATTAGTGTTAAACCCATTACTCTAACCCAGCTTCTTTTTGCCACAAATCCCATGCCTATAATAGTATTATCAAATTAAAAATAGATCGACGAACAAATAAACTTTATACAAGTTTAATAGTAGGAGAAAACAAAAGCTCATGCGGATTTTTTGTTATGAGAATGCTTAAAGAAAATTGACATCAAGATCTTATAATTGGAATTTTGAAGTAGAGAGAGATATAATGATGTGGACTTCACTTTTGTTTCTATCAATTCTCTATGTTTATTTACTTCAATTATGGTTATGATTCCTATAATTTTTGAAAATGATTAAGGGCATTTTTGCCCATCAATTATTCACTTAGGAATATCTAGTATCATAAACTTTCATGTGGTGCACTTTTACCTTTCAACTTTTAAAAATGATGCACTGGACATCCTGTCATTAAAAAAGTTTACTTTGATTATTAATTAACTGTAATATCTCCAATACTTAAACACATAATTAGCACAAAATTAACCTTAAAGTAAAGCTTCTATGATAATTTTAACTAATTTAATCAATAATAAAAAATATCATGGAAAGAAAAAGATTAACCTTTGTTATATAAAAACTCAAAAGGTTAAGTAAGGAAAACTCTATAGAGATGGGATCCCACAAATCATTTAATCACAAAACTGAGTTTAAAAAGTCATTTAGCCATTATAAATTAGAGTAAAAAGTGTTTGGGAAGCATAAAAACTAATTAGAGCTAAAAACAAGTTAAAATGAAGTAAAAAAGGTCATTTTCACTTAATAGGGATACTTGGCTGTGACCAAAGCATATTAAGTCGCGGCCAATACTTCCAATGAAGTTTTGGCTACGGCCAATTCCCTTTTGGCTGCAACCAAATGGTCTCAGCCACTCCAACAATCTAAAAGCCACAGCCAAAAATTCATGACAACAACTGTCATGATGGCTTCTAATCATAAACTTTTGATGCACATAACTTTTGATTTGGACCTTCGATTGAGATGATTCAAGCATTTGCACGTCAACAACTTTATAATCTAGCTAATGATTTTAGTTTCATATCAATCCAACATCATATAAAGAATTTAGACAACCAAAACCACAATTTTACATTTTTACCTCTAAACCACCAACCAAGTGTCCAAATCTCATACCATAATCCATTACCCCATATAAGGGCTTGAACCACATTCAATAAGTCCTAATACACTTATCCAAATAGTCATAAATATCAAACAACCCCTAACATAAGAATTGACCATATAGTAATGAAATATGCCAACCACTGTGCACAAACTCAATGGAGGCCATACCACGTGGATTTACCATTTTAATCCTCTACTATTTTAGGGTAAACTCTCACCCATCATGATCATACAAGTTCAGTCAATATGTGGCAAATATATACTTATGCATATCTCAATAACTCAACACATTCATAAACAAAACTTACAAGTTATCATAGAGCCATAAAGCTTCTTTATAACTATTAGGTATGTTTATTGTGTAACATTAACTCAAAGTCAACATATTAACCAATATGTCCCTATTACCCATCTCAAGCCAACGATAACTTAGTATAACTTACAGTTGCAGACACTATGATATGCAATAATTAAATTCTTGATTACCTCAAGTCTTGGTTTACCAACCAAGAGCACCCGTGAATATTAAATAGAACCTCCAATAAGCTCAATGGCACAATAATAGTCACCAAGTGATTAGAAGCTCTAAATAGACTCCAT